TAGAGGACTCAGAGACTAACCCATATGATTACACTTTGAAAAAGGCACCAAGAATGTACATTGGAGAAAAGATAGTTTCTTCAACAAATAGTGCTGGGAAAACTGGAAATCCATATGCAACAAAATGAAATTAAACTCCTATCTCTCACCACACATAAAACTCAAAGTGGATTAAGGACCTAGAAATTAAACCAGAGATACTGCATTTATTAGAAGAAAAAGTAGGCCCAAATCTCCATCATGTTGGATTAGGCCCCATCCTCCTTAATAAGACTCCTATAGCATAAGAATTAATATCAAGAATCAATAAATGAGATGGATTCAAACTAAAACACTTCTCAGCAAAAGAAACAATCAGTGAAGTGTATAGAGAGCCTAATTATTGGGAACAAATTCTTACCACACACACATCACATAGAGTACTAATCTCTAGAATACATAAAGAGCTCAAAAAAACTCAAAAAAATCTTAACACCAAAAAAACCCAAATAACCCAATCAATAAATGGGCCAAGGAACTGAACAAGTGCTTCTCAGAAGAAGAAATACAATCAATCAACAAATATATGAAAAAATGCTAGTTCATTTCTGTCATCATGTAGACATGATGTAGTTAGTATGTTATGCCTCCTGATTTGTGGTCCTTCTTCCAGCTGCTCCTTAATTTCTTTGTTCTCTCAAAAATAGTCTACACATACTGTTTTTACTTTTACAATTTCCCTTCACTACACCCCTAGTGTGTTTCTCCTTTTTAGTTGAACTGAAACTACTTTAGTAACAGTCAACCATGACTACAAATATCATTTAATGTGATTGACTTTTTTTTGGACACAAGATAATTGTGGACCTTTATGGGGTACAGTATGATAATTTGAAACATATATTTAATGTGTAATGATCAGATAAGGGTAATTAGCATTTCTGTCTCCTTATTTATCATTTTTATGTGTTGGGAACTTTGGAACTCATTTCTTCTGGTTCTTTATAAAATGTATAATACATTACTGTAAACTTCAGTCAACTTACTGTACTGTAGAACACTAGAAAGTATTCCTCCTAACTGTACTTTGATACTTATTATCCAAACTCCTTCTATTCCCCATGCCCTCAACCTTCCTATCCTATAGTAATTTCTTTTCTACTTCCTATTTCTGTGAGATTAACTTTATTAGCTTCCACTTATGTGTGAAATTGTGTGGTATTTGTCTTTCTGTGCTTAATTTATTTCACTTATTATCCTCAATATCCTCCAGTGCCCTCCATATTCCTGCAAAGGACAAAATGTCAGTTTTTATGGCTGAGTAATATTCCATTGTGTGTGTGTGTATGTGTGTGTGTGTGTATGTATATATATTGCATTTTCTTCATTTATTTGTTGATGGACACCATGGCTGATTCCATAGCTTAGTTATTGTGAATAGTGCTGCAAATAAGCACAAGAGTAAAGTATTTCTTTCATATAAAGATTTTATTTCCTTTGGATATATACCCATAGTAGGATTGCTAAATTGTATGGTGCTTCTATTGTTAGTCTTTTGAGGAACCTTCAGCCTCTTTTCCATAATGACTGTCCTAATTTAACATTGTCACCAACAGTATGTAAGAGTTGCTCCTTTTCTCATAACAACCAGCACTTGTTATTTTTCTCTTTGGGATTACAGCTATTCTAGTGGTGTCTTGTGGTTTGATTTGCATTTCCCTCATGGTGGCTAGTGTTGAGCATGTTTGCATATATTGTTGGCCATTTGTATATTTTATTTTGAGAAATGTCTATTCAGATCATTTTCCTGATTTTTAATCATAGTATTTAGGTATTTTGCTGTTGGATTTTTTTTCAGTTCATTATATATTGTGAATACTAATTCCTTGCTGGGTGAATAGTTTTCATGTATTTTACCCCATTCTGTAGGTTGTCTCTTTACTCTGTAAATTCTTTCTGTTGCTGAGCAGAAATTTCTTAATTTGATGTAATCCCATTTGTCAATGTTTGCTTTGGGGGTCTTGTTCAAAGGGAGGAGGGGAGTAAAACCTCATAGCCTGATATTATACTAATATCTTAAAGAGTTTCTTCTGTGTTTTCCTCTAGTAATTTTTCAGTTGTAGTTCTTACACTTAGGTGTTTGATCTATTTTGAGTCTATTTTTTTGTATATGGTGAGAGATAGAGGCCTATTTTCATTTTCTGTACATGGATATTCAATTTCCTCAGTGCCATTTATTGAAAAGATTGTCATTTCTCCAGTGTATGTTTTTGGTGCCTGTGTTGAAGATCACCTGTTGATGTGTGGATTTATTTTTGGGTTCTCTGTTTTGTTCCATTAGTCTTGTTATGCTAGTAGCACTCTGTTTTGGTTACATGTTTTGAGATGAGGTGTCATGATTCTTCCAGCTTTGTTCTTTTTGCTTAAGATTCTTTGGCTATTTGGGATCTCTTGGTTTCATAAGAAGTTTGGAATTGTGTTTCCAGTATGCCATTGGTATTCTTTTGAATATTTTTTTTTTTAGTCGTAGTTGTACACAATACCTCTATTTTATTTATTTATTTTTATATGGTGCTGAGGATTGAACCCAGGGCCTCGAACGTACAAGGCAAGTGCTCTACTGCTAAGCCACAACCCCAGACCAACCATTGGTATCTTGATGAGGATTGCATTGAATCTGTAGGTTACTTGAGATAGTATGAATGTTTTAATAATAATAGTAATTCTTCCATGGCTGTCTTTCCTTGTTTTTGTATCCTCTTTAGTTTCTTTCCCTAGTGTTTTATAATTTTCGTTGTAGATATTAACAGTTGATTTGAACCTTCATCTTTTGACTTTTGTACTGCCACATCTCCTTTTTTTTTTTTTCAGTATCCTTTCCAGCTTTTCCTCTTCCTCTTTTTTTTTTTTTAATTTTAATATTTATTTTTTAGTTTTCGGCGGACACAACATCTTTGTATGTGATGCTGAGGATCGAACCCGGGCCTCACGCATGCCAGGCGAGTGTGCTATCGCTTGAGCCACATCCCCAGCCCTCCTCTTACTCTTTGACTTAACACCTAAATACTGGAATTCCTCAATGCTTGATCCTGGATTTTCTTTTTTTTTTTTTTAATACTTTTCTTAGTATCCTGCAATTCCATATGGCTTATAGTAATGATTCTCAAAAGTATATATCTAGCCTCAGGCCTTTTTTCTTAACTACGGATACACACATCTGCCTATGAGGTGGCTGATAAATCTCATATTTTATATGCCCAAAACTAAATTTTAATTCACCTTCCCCAGCCAGAAAACCCCCTACCATAATAAATATTCTCAGCTACCCATCTCTGCAAATGGTACCACCCATCTACTGTTACTCAAGCCAGAAACATGGAGATTATCCTCAGTTTCTTCATTTCTTTCCTAAAACACGTTCATCTTGGTCATTTTGCTTCCAAGATATATTTTTTGTACTTACTCATTTCTGTCTTTGCTGCCACTACCTCTGTCCAGACTTAGACTACTAATATAGCTGGCTTCTCCTACCCTATTGATCTCATCCTTACACAGCATTCGGAGTGATGTTTAAAGTATTGTCACATACCTTTTGGTTTCTTTTGAAGACCTTATGATAATCTGTCATTGTTTCTTACCTTGTTTATTTGTATATCCACTAAATAGTAAACTCTGTGAAGACAGAAATTGTGTTAATTTTATTCACAATTGCATACCTAATGTTTAACATAGTGTCTAGCAGATAACATTACCCACTAAATATTTACTGAATGAACCTATTTCCTTGTTTTACTCTTCTGTTTATTATAGAAGATGAGATAGCTTCTCCAAGGCATAATTGTGTGTATTTTAGTCCCCTCCCTAGATGTGATCATTTCTTTTTCTATACTTTATCTCCCTCTACCACTTTTTCTTTCTCTGAACTTCAGCAAGTACATGCTAAAAATGTCTTCATCTGATCTTGCAATGCAGTTAGGCAAATTGTCTTGGTGCTCCACTTCTAGTGATATGGCATAGAATCCTATTTTCTTTCCTTATCTCCAGTTTTGCTTTTTCCTTTCCACCTAAATTACTCTCATAATTAATTCCTCATTGTTAAACTAAAAGCCTTCCCTCAATCCTTATTCTCTTTGACTTCCAAGCTGATTATCTCTTTGTTCAAAACCCCTCATTTTGTTTCGTCATCCTCATTGTCCTTATCAACTTAGAGGTTTTATTCCAAGACTCAGTTTTCTTTTATGTAAACTTTCACAGAATTAGATAACACTTCTATAGGTACTTTCACTGACTTCTCCCTTGACTTCCCACTTAAATATTTAATCTTTGTATCTAGAAATCTCTATCAAAATGATGAAGTCCTGGTTTTAGATGCTTTCTTGTGTGATTTTCCTGCTTGTTTTGTTGCTATGCACATTGTTTTACTCAGGTCCAAAACTATGGAAATCAGCTTTACCTCATTTTTTTTGCCTTTTATGAAGCAATATAGTATAGTGATTAAGAGCATAAATCCAGAGCAAACTGCTTTCAAAGTGTGGCTCTAATCAGTGACTTTGGAGAAGTTCCATAATCTCTCCGTACTCTAGTTACCTCATCAGGAAAAACAAAAAAGGTGTATTGAGGGGAATAATAGCAGTTTCCTGAGATTGAGTTTACTGATAGGTGTGAAGTCCTTAGAGCTTGGCATATAGTGAATGTTCAGTAAATGTTCCCTATAGTTACTTTTAAAATCTGATTACTGTTATCATCTTACCTGCTACTCATCTTGTTCATCTTTTCCTTCTCATTCTGCCAATTTGGTTGAAATTAGAATTATCTCACCCTTGAATTATTATTGAGCACCAGCCTCATAACTGTTACTATTTTTGTTTTAAAAGAAAATTTTCTTTTATATAAGTCAGTTAAATGTTTATATTATTTTATATCATGATTTTAAGCCAGTTTCCTGGCAGTGTGTATGCATTGTTAAAATTACATTTTTTAAAAAAGAGGAATAAGACTGAGGATGTAATTCAGTGGTAGAGTCCTTGCCTAACATGCACAAACCCCTGGGTTTAATGCTCAGCACCACCAAAAAAATAAAGAAGCATAAAGTTCTAATTCATTTTAACCTTTCCTTTAAAGTCTGTTTTGCGCTTTTTTTCACTAGGGGGCAAGACAATGTCATGGGAGTTAAATACTGCTTTAGGAAAAACGATCATGTGGTTATTGCTATGCCGTATCTGGAGCATGAGTCCTTTTTGGTAGGTTTTTAATATTTCTTGAATTTTTACTAGCTAAATGTTTAATTGAAAATAATTTTATGATCTCATTTATAACTTATTTTAGGACATTTTGAATTCTCTTTCATTTCAAGAAGTACGGGAATATATGTTTAATCTGTTCAAAGCTTTGAAACGCATTCATCAGTTTGGTATTGTTCACCGTGATGTCAAACCCAGCAATTTTTTATATAATAGGCGCTTGAAAAAGTAAGTATGAAGAATTTTCAGAAAATATTTCTGCTTAAGTGAATTTGTGTTATGGAGTCATTCTCTTAGACAGAACATACTGCAACAGCTAAGTGCAAATTATTTCTGTATAAAATTTTTATTGATTGAGGAAAAGAGATGCAATGAAGAAAATAAAATTATATTCTTAAAGCAATGCCCATCATTAGATATACCAACAGAAACAGCACTTAATTAAGACAGACATAGAATTTTAGTGCTTTTTGCCCTTGCATATGTCTGTCATCTTTTGGCTTCATTTTTTTGTGCTACTAAATGAGAGAATTGGATGGCATGATAGCCAATTTCCTGGTTCAACACCAAAGTTCTGTTTCCATATATATTTTGATTATATACAGAGGTGTTATAAGCTGAAAATAACTATATTATATTAAATATAGTAAGGAGATGAAAACTATAATTCTTTCTTGGGCTTTTATGTCCTTGACATTGCTCTTTGATTTCCTTAACTTTCTAATTAAATTATCTGCTATGATGCCATCTCTTCCATTGTCAAAGTGTTTCACTATATTATGCATTCCTCTTCTGTCTTATCAACATAGGCCATGGAAAAAAAAGAGAGAAGAATGATTAAGGAATTGAGGGATATCGTTCCTTAATTTTTAATCTTAATTAGCTGTTACATCTTTACTTTGGAAATATTTTTTTTCTTTTTTTCAGGAATATTTAAAATTCTTAATTGTTCCTAAAAAGAACTAGTTTCTATGTGAGTGTGGTTTGAGTATTACAGTGTTACTCAACTTTAATTGTTAAATAAAAGTAAAAGTGCTTAATTTTGTTTCTTAGGTATGCCTTGGTAGACTTTGGTTTGGCTCAAGGAACCCATGATACGAAAATAGAGCTTCTCAAATTTGTCCAGTCTGAAACTCAGCATGAAAGTTGTTCACAAAACAAATCTAATGTAATCACTTCAAACAAGATTTCATTGAGTGGCTCAGCACCTAAGGAACTGGATCAGCAATCCACTGCAAAAACTTCTGTCAAAAGACCCTACACAAATGCACAAATTCAGTTGAAACAAGGAAAAGATGGAAAGGTTCTACCTTTTTATATTTTTTTTAAGTACTATCACTATTTTGGAAATGTACTCCTTTATCCAACAGGGGGAGATATAATACTAGTACCTGCGGTTAAAAAGAAAGCTTTTTTTTTTTTTTTCTTTTAACATTGGTTATGTGTATTCAGTTGGTTAGATTTTTACTAAGGTCTGTGCTGAATCATTTTACTTACTATTTTGACACTGAAATTTTTTACTTAGTTGATTTATAATATCTTTATCATTATATATTACAAATTAAATTATATGATAAAATGGAAAATAATAGATTTTCTTTGCGTGTTATAAAGTTCAGTATAATCATCCTTTTTAAAAGAAAGCATTAGTCAGAGGAAAAAGATTCTGAAGTGTCTATCTCCATTTTAGCTGCACAGAAAAATGTGACATGCAGGTGGTTTTTGAGATTTTTAGTTATATATATATATATTTGTGGGCTATGATAACATTGTATGGGTCTGAAGAGTTTTGTCTAGACTATTTTCTCCTTTCACAGAGTGTTTTGATGCCTGAGAATGTCTTGGATGCAGCTGTTTTTATTTCATGTCATTTAACTCTTTCAAAACTATGGCAGAGTACAGCTGGCAGAAAGTGTTACAGATATAATCCTTATTTTCCTTGTTTTTGTTGGTATTGTAGGAGGGATCTGTAGGCCTTTCTGTCCAGCGCTCTGTTTTTGGAGAAAGAAATTTCAATATACACAGTTCCATTTCACATGAGAGCCCTGCAGTGAAAGTAAGTAATGTAGCTTAATAGTGCAATGGTCAGTCAGTCATACACTGAGGAAAATTTAGGTAATGACTAGATTAGTGTTTATTACGTAAAGTTTGGCTTTGGCAGAAGTTTTTACTGCTTTGAGCATTCAGTCAAAATTTTATTTTCTCTAATTTTTTTTCTGAACATTTCTGGTGGAATTTTTCATCATTTTTGCTTCTTATTATTCTTTCCCTATAAAAACATTTGGAACATTGAGACTTTTTCTGTCATCATTGCTAGAATGTGACTTCCAAATGCCTAACAGAGTTCTAACACATAGTTGATAGTGTAAAGAAGGTTATAAAGGTAACAAAATTGTTTTCAGTGTTAGATGATTTTAAATTGATTTGTGATAGCTAGATAGCTTGAGCAACAAATTAAAACTCTGATTTTAGCCACGGTAAATGTGCAGTTTACAGTTCTGAAATGGAGTTAGACACTAGAACATAACTGTTATATTTGTGTAATATATTGGGAGAAGTTCTAATAAAGTCAAATATTTACCAAATTAATTAGTAAACTTAAGTTTATTCAACAGAAAAAGACCTTAAACTTTTATTTATAGTCCAACAGAATTCAGCCATTTTTGAAAGTTCTAATTAGGCTGGAACTGGAGTGATAGCTCAGTGGTAAGGTGCTTGCCTCATTTGTGCAAGGCCCTGTGTTTGATCCCTAGCACCACAAAAATAATTGTGTTTTTGTTGTTGCTTTCTGCCATACTAGCTTATGAAGGCATCATGTTAAATGTCATGAAAATAGAAAATATGAACTTTTCTTTTGTAGCTTGTAAAGCAATCAAAGACTATGGATGTAATATCAAGAAAATTACCAACAAAAAAGAAGCCAGTTTCTACAAAAGTTATGAATAGTGGTGTAATAAAGAAAACTGCAAGTTCTTGCCCAGCTAACCTGACCTGTGACTGCTATGCAACAGATAAAGTTTGCAGTATTTGCCTTTCAAGGTAATGCGTTGTGATGGCACTATAAAATCACCAGCATGCTGTTAGACAAGATTAGAAATTGCATTAATTTTGGTGGACAGTTGATTTACTGAGTGAAAGGAATAACAGATCTATGAACTACACAGACATTGATGTAGAACAAAACCTTGAAGAGCAAATGATAACTATTGTCACATATTATTCATTTAACATGCATATGCTCTTTGAGAAACACATTTGCTCTTTTATTGCAAGTATGAGGAGATAGAGAGTAACTTTTTTAGAAATTTGAATTGTACATTTTGCTTGCTAATGTCATCTTTTCTGTTTTCTCTGTTTCTTTCTGCCTGTGTGGTATAATCGGGTACAAATAATAGAGCTCCTTTCTTGCTCACACCTGCAGCTCTTTGCTTCATAAATTTCTCCCTTTCCTTTAAGACTTGACTTTTGTAGAATATTTCCTGATTAACTCAAGTATATAGTTGAGTAAGTACGTTGATAATTAATCATCCCCAAACAAATGAATTTTCATACAAATTCCTTTTGTGATGTATTTTTCTATTATGGCTTATATCAACTACCATCTTTTCATGCTTGGAAATTACCTTAAGATCCTTCTGGAATAAGACCAGAGAACTCAGGAGGAGTTGGGGTGACCAGTAGAGGCAAAATAAGGATGCTCATCACACTAGGTTATCATTTGCTTTTAATAAATACGTCAGTATCAAGGCAAAATTCACTGTGAACTAACAAATTAACAAATACTATTCTTTGTACTTAAATAGCTTAATGTAACTAGAGAAATTTTATTTCTTTATCTTAAGGCGTCAGCAGGTTGCCCCTAGGGCAGGTACACCAGGATTCAGAGCACCAGAGGTTTTGACAAAGTGCCCTAATCAAACTACAGGTATGTTGTACTGGAAATACAGGTATGTTCAAATGAATTGTTTAGATATATTTTATGATCTTTCTGTATGACTAATATTGAACTCTCCTGCTTTAATTAAATTATTAAGTAGTTCTAGCAATGGGACATTCCCATTTTTGAGATAATGCCATTCTTATGAAAGTTTCTCATCCGAATGTTGTTTTAAAAAAAGAAAACATACAGTGTATTTTGTCACTCTTGGGGGAAAATTGTGTTGAATTTTTTGCCAACTTTAGATTTGCAGCACTTCATCTGCTTACTTAATACCTCAAAAGTTTTCTGTGGTGCAGGTAAAATTGTGTTTGATTAAAATTATTTTTTGTTATTATGAAAACAATAATAATAGCTGTTAAATTTTTTTTTAAAGGAATAAAGAAAATCTAAAGTTGGCATGTAAAAGTAGAAGGGGGACTGACTGCTGGGGAGGGAGAGGGTGACTAGGGGGATGGGGGAAAGAGGGTAATAGAGTGGATACAATCAAAGTACCTTATACACATATTTGAAATTGTTACAGTGAAACCCATTATTTGGTGCAGTTAATAAGTGCTAATAATTATAATTTTTTTAAAAAATGTTGTTATGGAGCTAGAAACCAGGAAACATTTTGTTGAATGAATAGATGAACCCTGTTATTCACTTGGATTATAGGCTTTGAAATAATGCATTCATTCATTGTATGTCTGTTCTGTGCTTGCTAATGATGCAAAAATAATGAGACCGCTCACCCTCTGGTTAGTACACATTCTCAAATAATTATAAAATAATGTGTTGAGCATGATGATAAAGCCTTATTCAAAGTATTTCAGAGGTATTTATTTTAACTCAAAGGGATTATGAAAGGAAGTTAATGGAAGAGATGACCTCTGAGATAAGACTCTGAATTGAGGTAAAGGATTAGAGTTGAGGTGTGAACTGAGGAACTGAAACAGCATAGTCTAGCCATAAAGGAAACTATAAAAGTTTAGTATTGCTAAATATAAGATACAAGATGAGAAATGGTTAGAAATAAACCTATAAAGAGGTATACAAGGTCAGATCACACTTTTAAACAGCTTGGGTTTTATAATATAGAAAGCTGTTCAAGGGAAAGAGATGGTAATATTGTATTCAGGCAGTTGTACAGAGAAATAGATTTTAGAGGCTCTTCAGTAAAAGATGATGAAAATATGAAAGGGAAACTTGGTACAAGAAATGAAAAGAAAAATGAAGGATTGGAAAGACCAGACTTGAGAGGAAATTGAATGTTGAATTTGGTGTGGGGAGGTGAGCTGTCGGGGGTGGGGGCGTGGGAAGCATTCAGGATGTTGACCAGATTACTAACTTGAGGACTTTGGTACTGTCAGTAACCAATATGGAGAATAAAGGAAAGGTAACTGGTTTATAAAGGAAGGTAACGTTGGAATGCAGCATAATTTGGTTTGAGATTTTTGTGGCATTTCCAGACATCTAGCAGAATAAAAGTTAAGTCTGAAGTTCAGGGAAGGAGCTGGGCTGGAAATACAGCATATCATCATTAAATAAGTGGTAGTTGAAGCTGTATGATGGATGAAACAATAAGGGAGAATATAACAGAGGAATAGATTGGAATTCTGAGGAACCTTGGCACTGAAGCCTTGGCACAAACATTGAAGGAGTAGTTAAAGATATAAATAGAACTAAGAAAGGCAAATGATCAGTGGCCAAGGGAATAGAGAGCAATAAGTTGATAATACTAAAAATTGAACAATTCAGAGAAAAGTGAGCTTTTTAACATGAAGCTGAGCTGGATGTGTTTTGTTTTGTTTTGTTTTAGGTGGTGCTGTGTATTGAACCTATGGCTAAAGCTGAACTAGTCTTAATCTTAACTGCCAGAATTCCAGAGATGAAAGTTTCTATAGTAGTTGATGTTAACATCTGGCTGAAGAAGAGCTTCTAATGTTCAGTACTTTTCACTAGAATGAAAAAACATTACTGTAGTATAGGCTTTTGAGAGGCATCCCAGATTTTTTTCCACAGAGCTATTTTTGGTTTCTTTTGATCTTATACAATGTATGTTTACTTAAGAATTTTCTAATGATGAAATATCCTTTTAACTTTCCAACATATTGTTCCAGGAAGAAAACATTGTATTTTTTAGCAAGGATGTTGAGTCAGGGATCCTGGGTATACATTACAGTCACCTGGGGCATCTTTTTAAAAATACCTAACTCTAGACTGATCAAAATCTCTGAGGGATTGAGCCTTGGCATCTGAATTTTTTAAGGCTCCCAAGATGATTTTAATGAACAGTAAAGGATTAGAACTATTTTATATAAATGATGAAATTATAGATTTGGAATTTATTTTAAAGTTTGTTTTCTGTTACAGCAATTGACATGTGGTCTGCAGGTGTCATATTCCTTTCTTTGCTCAGTGGACGATATCCATTTTATAAAGCAAGTGATGACTTAACTGCACTGGCTCAAATTATGACAATTCGGGGATCCAGGGAAACTATCCAGGCTGCAGAAACTTTTGGTAAGCAGTTTTATATTATAGAACAAAACAGATGCCTTTGATTATTTGCTGCAAACATAAAATTCTCTTTACAAATAAACATATTCAATGTTTATAAATATATCTATTCATAGGTAGGAAATTCTTAATTGCTTGGAAATATATTGCATTTACGTAAGAAAATAATTTATCATCTCTTCTCCTCATTACATGTAATCATTTGCTCTTACTAATTATAGAGTACTAAACTACTCCAGTATTTAGAGCTCAGCTTTATAATCTTAAACAAGAGAATAAGGAATAAAAACTACTTTAGTGACTTTTATTACATAAATATTTACCAGATGTTCTACATGGTACTAAGAATGTTCTCTCCTTAATTGATTTTAGAATAATAAGTAAAGAATTATAATACAGCCTAATAAGGACTATAGTTTGGAAGAGAAGAGAAATGTGTGTTAGTATTCAGGTTTTGAGGGGTAGGGTAGCAGAGAAGTGAAATGAATAGAACACCTTTTCAGATGGAGTATTTTTGTAAGCGTGTATCGGACATAGGACATAGGAAGTCATTTCCACAAAGGTTCTTCAAGACTGGGATATACAGTTTACTTTATAGGACACATGAGAATTCTCTCAGCTTCTCTCTGTCCAACAACATGAATTCAAATGCCCACCTTGAATTTATTCTCTAAGCACAATTAGACTTGATACTTTCCAAGGAGAGGGTCTGATTAAGTCAGCTTGCACCATACAATATGGAACACCCCTATGGACAATGTTTTAATCAGCCTACATCAAGAGTAACTGGGCTGCCATGTGCTCAGTCCCAGGATCGGTGGGTCTTAACCAACAGTGCAAATCAGAATTATCTGAGAAGTTTGAAGATATTCATATGCCCAAAATGCTGTGCCATTCTGAGAATATAATTCAGAAAAATATACTGAAAAAGGCTCCGGGCTTGTTAGTTTGAAAACAAATGATTTTGACTGTAAATCACTTCTGGTCAACCACCATAAAAATCATTGCCTCTTGCTTAGGCACCAGTGCTATGGTCTAGTCCATAAAGAAAACTTAGTGGTGAATTTTAGGAAAGTTTCATAATAAAGGCTTGCCAAAAATTATCTCTGCCTCCAAGTCAATTCACATGTTGTACCTTTCTTCTACCTATTATAAGAAAAAATTATTTGAAGATAATAAGATGAAATAATGCATACATATAAGGAAAAAATGACTGTGAATGTAAAATAAGATAATTATCTTGAAACTGGTATTACATTGTAATAAACATGATTATGTTTATGCTTAACTAGTTAAGAAAACATTTAACTACTATTAAATAACTTTAAGAGAAGTTTATGAACATAAAGTTTATCAGCCAGCACTAAAACATTTTGTTGAGCTTGACTCTTCCCCCATTGATAGTCAAAGATGTAATGAGAGCCACAAATTAAAGTATATCTGACACAAAAATACTTCAGAGCAAATATCAGATATCACACAAGGGCTTCTTAGAAATTTATATTGTTCTCATTTTAAAAAATAATAATGTTCTATGGTACTTGTTTTTTTTAAGCATAACTTTTTAGTTTTTAGAGCATTTTATAACTTTGAGCTGACTCAAAGCTCAAAATTTAAATACACAAAACTATGTTCTCCTTTAGAACATAAAGAGATGACTTGCCTGAGATAGCAATGAGTGTACCTCTGCTTCTCTTATATATAACCTACCCTATTATCCTCAGCTTTAGACCTGGCCATCATTTTAGGTCATCATTAAATACTCATTGAATTCTGTTGAATAATTTCAAAAGAAAACTTTGAGCTAAAACAAATGCCTGACAGATAGCAGTCTGTAACAAAATGCATTTTGATTGAATGTACTAGTGTATATTATTTTCCCTGAATAGTTTAAATGTACTCTTTAGTCATGTACAAAAATAATTTAAGCATATTGTACTGCTTGGGATGTTCTATATACTATTTTTATTTCATGACTTGAGAGCAAGCTAATAAATCAAAACTATGTGACTATTCTCCTCTGGCTAGAATTTTCTAGAGATAATGATAGAAATGATAGATTTAAAAGTAAAGAAGAATTGGCCTGTGGTGTCCTCACCACACTTAGCTGGTAGTCATTTGTTTCCTTTTGTTTTTCCTTGGGGTCATCCTCCCCACTTTTTCCTGCCCTATTACATCAGTCTCAGAATATGTAAAGGTAACTTCATCCAAATTGCTTTGTTTATAATCTGCATACTCCAGAAAGAGATCTAAATGTTATGCTAATCATTTAGAGCCACATTTCTGTTTAATAAGGAAATTAGCAATTAGCATACAGTTACCTATTTGTGTGTGTAACTTATGTTTCCCTGTGTCTGATAATAAGCTGATGGTAAATTATTTTATAAATACATTTATGTTTTAGAAACTTGAGATCTAATTTGCTTATTAATTCATTGAGAAACATTATTGGGACTTTATATGCCAGGTACTGTTGTGAGTTTCTGTTTTTATAGAGCTTAAATACCCTCTCTAATGAGGGCAAGAAAGTAAATGTTTACTAACAAGTGAATGGTGCTGAAAAACATGAGGAGAAAGGGAGAGAGCTCAGCCATTTAGGACAGGTTGAATAAAAACCAGTACCTCTAAGAGTGTGACATTTGAATACAGATGTTCAAATGAACAATGCCTTTTTGTTCAGTCTAACAGACATTAACTGAGCAACTAGCAGGTACCAGGCATTGTATAGGTTTTGGGGGTTCAAAAATAAATAGGACATTCCCTGTCTTGAAAGAATACATTATCTAGTAAGTAAGACATACTTACATTTTGTCAGTTACAATGTAATGTAGCCAGGGAAGAGGGATGGGAGGGAAAGGGAGAGAGAAGGGGAATTGCATGGATGGTAGAAGGAGAGAGACCCTCATTGTTGTACAAAATACATGTACGAAGATGTTAGTTTGGTTTTTAACATATCTTGTATACAGTGGTATGATAAATCGTGGTATAAAGGTGTATTAAGAATTGTAATGCAAAAAATAATAATAATAAGAGCACATGTAAATAAATAAATAAATAAATAAATAAGTAGAGCAGGTGGAGCCGGGCAAAACAAAAAAAAGTAATAATAGAACTCTTCCCAGGAAATGACAGAAGTTTAACATGATCAGTTGCATCTGAGTGTCATCACAGAGGGGCTTCTTGAGCAAGGTGAAGATGTATATGGGAGCCTCCTGGGCACACAAGGGTGTGGAGTGCTTAAAAGCATAGACGATGGGAGGTAGGATGGAGGGTGGAGCTGCAGCTAAAGATTACAAAAGAATAAAAGAAAGCTGGAGAAGTGGGCAGAGTCAAGTGAGTACCTGGCATAGCTCAGTAAGTTGCTGCTTTCTACTTACTATTTCCCACTTTATGGTTTGGCCTTCAATTATGTAGTTCAAATACAACTTAAAAATAGGATGTCGTAGCTAGACACCGTATTGCATGCTCTTAATCCCAGTGGCTCAGAAGGCTGAGGCAGGAGGATTGCAAGGGCAGTCTTAGCAATTTAGCAGTACCCTTTCTCAAAACAAAAAACAAAAAGGGCTGGGGATATAGCTCAGTGATAAAGCACCCCTGGGTTCAATTCCCACTACCCCCACCAGAAAAAAAAAAATGCATGTGGTGCTCTGTGTTAATATTCTGTGTATATGCATATATATATATATATATA